GAAATGGAGATGACCATACCTAAGAAATAAAGTAATTAAGTATTAAACCCTTTAATAAACTTCTACAATTTATAAAGTGTTAACTTACGTGTCTCCTTCAAATTTACGTACATGAGAAAAGATATATGGTAAGGTTTGCCGAAGCCAGAGCTCAAGCGTTTCTTCGTCTACATCTTTGGTTAGAGAAACAATAACCGTTCTTTCCGGATCAGAACAGCACGCACGTGCTTTTCGGTTTTTTCCTATGTACGTACAAAAAAAAATATATATAGATTAAAATATTGCTTTTATAAAAAAAATTGAAAACTAACACCTCTTTCAGTGTTAGTTAAGATCTTAATTTTTATAAAAGTAAATGGCACTCCATAAGGAGAGGGTTCCGCAAGGAAAAAGCAAGGCACTCCATAAGGAGAGGAATATACAAGGCACCCGAAAGGGAGGAAAAATACTTCAACTATATCATGTAGGAAGATTCATAAAAAAGAATCACCTACCCAAGGCCATCTTGCTTCTGGTGGTGGTAGTATTATCCTTGCTTTTGTGGTGGTGTGTTGGTGTTGTTCTTGCTGCTTTTGTGGTGGTGTGTTGGTGTTGTTCTTGCTTGAGGTCTTGCGGTGCAAATAAATTTATATGTATCAATTTTTGCTGATTGACCAATTAAATTATATAACACTATCAGTGTTTATTTTTCACGCAGTGTTTATTTTTTACAGTGTGCACGTGTACGCGCACATGTCCAAATCTAATCAAATTGCTTTATTACAAGGATCCGCACAGATGCAGGTACGTGAAAAATAAACACTGGACGCGACTCATTTGGGTTGATTACCGTGATAATTAACCAATCAATACTACGATATTAGGAAACGAAAGAAACAAACTTATAAATACACACAAAAGAATTTATAAGAATAGATAGATATGTGTAAAGTGGGTAAATAAGATATTTATTACTAATAAACCCGAATTATTAAAGAATTTACCATATAAATATAAAAACTTTTTAAAGAGCTTTTACCTATTCAAATTAAATAAAAGTTTAACATAATAAAATAGTTTTAGACGAAAACATTTCTGGTTACTTTCACTATACAGTATAATTTGATGCCTTCTAAGTCTTCTAAGTAAAGTTCGTGGGGATACTGATTTTTTGTTAGTGAAACGTTAAAGTACTTTAAAGTGTATAAATAAGTTACCCGGGTGATTGATTTATGTCAGCCAATCAGACAAAGATCCTCCTATGAACAAGGGTCGTCTATTTTCTTCAAACTTTAAACGAATTAGCAACTACCTAATAGAATTCGATAAAAATTTTTTTTACTCAATTCTACGCAAAATTACTATTCTTGATGGATTGTCGATACCAATCTTGATAGGATAAAAAAAAAAAAGATTTACATACCAATCTTGATAGGGTTATACTATTCTTGATAGCTCTAAAAAAAAAAGATACCAGAAATATTAGAATATACATATACTTAATTATTATTATAATATGTAGCATAGTTATTAGAATTGGATATAGCATAATTATTAGAACTAGATATAGCACAGTTGTTAGAGCTTGATGTAGCATAATTGTTAGATATTAGACTTAGTATAGTAGTTAGATTCTGGATATAGCATGACTAGATGTGGTACAGTAGTTAGATTCAAAATGTAGCACGTAGTTAGAACTAAACATAGCACAGTAGTAAGAACTAAATGTGGTATAGTAATTAGATTCTGAAGATATAGTAATTAATTTTAGATATAGCATAACTGCTAGAACTGAATATTACACAGTTGTTAGATTCTGGGTATAGTATAATTATAGAGCTGGACGTAGCACAGTTGTTAGATTTTGGATGCAGTACAGTATTTAATTCTAGATGTAGCACAGTAAATAGAACTAGATGTAGTATAGTAGTTAGATTTTAGGGGTAGCATAGTAATTAATTCTAGACATAGTATAATAATTAGATTCTGAATAGTAATTAGATTCTAAATGTAGTATAGTTAGATATATATAGCACATCAGCAAAATTAATAGAGCAAAATATTTCAAAATAATTTACGAACTGTAAAAAAGGTATAATATTATGTAAAATATTGCGAAATATTGCAAGATATAAGATTACGAAATATTACGTAAGATATTACGAAATATTATATAAGAAATTATGCAAAATAACGTAAGATATTTCGAAATAATTCGAAAAATTTTGAGTATAAATAAGATATTTTAAAATAATAAATTAATTCAAAATATATCAAATCATTAAAAATAATATAAATACATTAACCTATCGAACATTAATATTTATTAATACATAAATCTATCGAATATAAATAAGTGTTAATAGTATTAAAAACATATAATAATATTTTATAAATTTAAACTAAAATTTATCGAATTAATTTAGGATATTTTAATTTAATTCGCAATGTTTTTTTTTTTTTTTTTTTTTTTTTTTTTTTTTTTTTTTAAACCGATGTCACAGTGCTAATGCTTTATTGTGTTTTTCAATGTCTTATTACAAATATTGTATAACATTTTCTAGTACATCGATGAGTGTACAACTAGCCACACATACAACTTTTGGTTGCCTATTTAAGTAGTCCGCCCGAAGGTTCCACACTAGCTGCCATACCTGCAACCTGCTAGGAGATTGCCTATTTAAACCCTCTGATCTTCTGTACCCACTCTGCAGTTAGCCCATAAGTTCCCGTACACCAAGGTGCCGTCTAACTTGACATATGGTTTCCCTTTCTGTGCTATGTACCCAGGCCGTCATCTAATTAAAGACTGCGTCACCCAGTAGCAAGGCTCAGGGTGCCCCCTGTCAACAACCTACCCACTCTACGGTCCTATCAATAGGGCTATGCCCTTGCAAAGTTCACCCAACCCCGGTACCCACTTCACAGCATATCTCCGGTACTTCGGTTCCCTCCGCTTTGGTTCCAGACTCCCAATCCAGATGGCCCGGAAGGACTGTGACCTGTCCCTGGTTCATCGGCTCTGCCATGACCTTTTCCTCCGGTTAACCCGGCGGCCTGGTTGGTGGATCGGCTTTACCACAAACCGATCGTGCCCTGTCCAGTTCTTCCACTTCGGTTTCCATTTTCCGGGTCTAGCCTTTACAGTAGTACCGTCGAAGATCTGTGCTACCTCTCTACTCGGGTCTTCCCAAATGGGCTTCGGTCCTCCCAGTCCTACGGATTTACATGACCTAGGGACTTATCTAGTGTTTGCACTGCCCAATGCCGGTTTGCATTCCTCTGTGTAACCCCAAGGTTGCACGGATGCCCCAGACCTGCCAGTCATACTGGTGCGACCGTAGTTACAGGTATTCTATCCCAACTAATCAACGAAGGACAGTTGCCGTAACACAGGTAATTATTCGAATTTTCCGTCGACGGTGGGTTTCGAACTCTTGACCTGCCACTTGGTGGGGTGACAACCTAACCACTACACTAGATCGCCACACCCCCTAATTCGCAATGTTTCAAATTTATTAGAATGATATATTTAAGGGTAGACCGTATTACTATATTAAATTATATATATGCAAATGGTAAATTATTTTTGCTATATAAAATTAACGAGTGTACAAAAAAAACAATAAAAGTAAATATTTTTTCATGTTATCAAATTCAATCAAAACAAAGTAAATACAAACTTTCGAACCTTTAAATTTTGTTGCAAAAATTAAAAGTAAGTTTTTTAAAAAATAATTCTAAATTTGAAGTTACAAAGTTTGTGAGTAAAACTTAATAATATGCGAGTAGAACTTTATAATTCTAGAAATTAATGAATATTCTAGAACATACTAAGAACAATATAATTTATTCTAGAATAAGCTATAGAATAATATATAGCTGAACTTTTCTAAATACACTTATTGGAACTATAGTAAAAAAATAAACTATATATTAAAAATAGTGTATCTTTATAGAAAACAAAATATACCGAGCTTTTATAAGTTGCAACAAAGTATTTAGTGAGAATTTACATATAGCGTATATTTATAATATATACTTAAAGGAGTCAACTATATCGATATATAATTTATAATTAGTACTGTTAATTTTTTTATAATCTTTACTAATTCTAAAATATTTTTATTTATATAGGCTATAATCTCAGGTATATTTTAGTATCTATTATAATATAAATACTGCCAAAAAAAAAAAAAAAATTCAAATACAAGTCATTCTTATTATAAAGAAATAGTTTATATTATAGTAAGTAAATTTATTATATTCAAAGAATTTTATATAATAATTATATCTAGAATTTATTATAATAAGAATGACTTGTATTTTATTAGATAGAATTTTATTAGATAGAATTTTATGTTTTATTTCGGCATTACTTATTTATATATAATAGTATATATCTTTTTTATTTTTTATCTTTTTAATAGTATAAATAAATGGTATATTCAATTAGTTAATCAACAACCAGATAATTGTTATGCTTTTCAACGTGATAATAAAAGTTGGTTTGTACGAGAAAATTTTCAATTAAAAGTTTTAAAACGATATCAAAATTTTGTTCCTTTTACTTGCAAGCAAGGGCAAATAGCAACTGCTAGTACAACTATAGGATACTATGCACCAAAAGGTGTAGAAAATATTTCTAACTGGGTTCTCTTATTACCTGGTTATTCAATATATACAGCAGCAGGTAGAGATGTTACCCGGGTAGGGTTAACCCGTACGGGTCAGAAAATTTGACAGGTCATGCGGGTTATGGGTTATTTTTGGGTTGACCCAGGTCAAAAAAGGGTTAGTATAAGTTTATAAAATTCGGGGCTGCGAGCTGCTTAAATAATTATTAAAGTTATTGATTTTGGCATAATCAGTATTAAAGAAAAAAGATAGATATAGGGATGGACAAATTTTTATTTATTATAAATTATTTTATTATTAATCGATACTGCTTCTAATACTGTTTTATGCTTAACATGCCTAAAATTTCACATCGACAACGTCAAATTAAACAAATAAATAATCTTTTAAAGACACTTATGAACGAATACTCAACTAGCACAAATAAGGCTATTACTAAAGTCCTGGATAAAGAAATTGACAAACTATTCGAATTAATACAAGCCATAGAACTGAATCAATATCTTATTATATGTGAAAAACAATTAAATCTAATGATTTTTTTCAAGTAAACTATATAAAAAAAATCTAAGCGAAAGTTTAATAAGTTATATAAAAAAATAATTTAAGTGAAAGTTCAGCAAGTAATATAAAAAAATAATTTGAGTGAAGGTTTAGTAAATTATATAAAAAAAATACCTTAAGTGAAGGTTCAGTAAGTAATTTAGACGAAGGTTCAATAAATGATTTGAGCGAAAGTTCAGTAAATAATTTGAGCGAGAAGTTTTATTATTATTCTGTATTTTGTAATTGTTGATCTGTATAATAAAAAATTTTTTACTTATTTCGTCAAATGGGTCCCATTTCATTTTCTGATTTCAAAATTTTGATACACAAATAAGATTTTTTAACCTCTTATTTATTTCCGAAATACTCTATTTTTTAATTCTGAAACCCCTTATTATTATAATAAGTTTCCAAATAAAAATAAATAGGACTTATAGATCACTGATTTTGACACTAATTTAATTCGAAATCAGAAACCTGAACCTTAGGTCTAAAACCGTCTAATTTATTTATTTCGAAAATAAGTGAGAGATTGAAATTCTGATCAAAAAATTAAATAGTCATACCCAGAATTGGCTTTTTTTATAAATATCAATCTGTAAGCGATTGTGTAAACAAGTATATACTTTAAAAAAAAGATGAAAATGATTTATAGATCTTTTATTTTGAAGTAAATACATCATTTATTAAAATGACATCCGAAACCAAATACATACATAATAAAAAAATTGAACAATAAATTTTTTTTTTTTTTGCTATCTATAACCCTATTTAAAAACATGAGAAACTGGCCAAAGATTTAAAGCCGATTTAAGAAACAAAATTGTACCAGCGTATTCAGGATTAAGACGTGTTCGTCTTTCAGTAATAGTAAGACCTGCAGCTGAGAAAAGTCGTTCAGATGGCACCGAGGTTGCTGGAATAGACAAATACTTGCGAGCAAGTTTCGCAAGTATTGGATATTCAGCTTTTCTTGATGCCCACCAACTAAGTACATCCATTTGACCTGAAACCTTTGGTAACAACAAATATGAGTCAAATTCATTGTTAGCAGTACTATTATCTTGTTGATTTGATTGTTCTTGAACACGCATTACTGCAGTAGAAAAGATATCTTCATCACTATTTTCATCACCAGATATTGTTGGATCGGCTTGACTCTCTGTATCTGATTCATTACCTAATTCATTAGAACCTATTTCTTTATATTCCGTACATGCTTCTAAAATAGTCTTTTGCTTTTCATCTTCTGTAAATATTTCCATGTCTTTAGTTCGTGGATCAAAAAAAATGGCAAGTCGAATTAGCTTGGTTGGTTCTAAAAACCGTCTTTGGAGCGATTCATAAAGAGAGGTCCCAAAGTTTTGAACATTATCATTGCATACTATTGCATTATTAATTTTGGTCTTGATAAAGTTAATAGCATACCATGCTTGCGATAGTGTTAGATACTTTGAGCCAGATAAACGTTTTGAGACAACTTCATAAGGGCGCAAAAATTTAACCAATTCAGTTACCTTATCCCAATCATTAGATGATAGTTCTTTTTCTTCATAAGCTCTTAAAGAACTATTTTCATTTGCTTCTGCTAAAAAAGACTTGTATCTATATAATACTGGTTTAAGAATAGTTAACCGTTTTAACATATAAAATGTGGAGTTCCACCGTGTGGAAACATCCCATATTACACAAAGAAACTTATCCCAATCTTCTATCTCAACTTGAGCTGTTAAAAGGAATTGTTTTTGTTTCGGACTCCCACTAAAATGTAATACAATATCCTTATATTTTTTTATTAAATCTGTAATGTCAGAACATTTTTTTAACGCATCATTTATAGCAAGCTGCAAAGTATGACCAAAACAAAAAATTTTTTGTATATTATTTCTTTGCTCTAATCTTTCTACACATAATCGAATATTCACACCATTATCAACTACACTACAAACGGCCTTATTAATAAGCTGAAGGTTGTTCAAAATTTCAACAATTTTATTTAAAAGATATTCGGCAGTATGGGGATATGGAAGGTACGAGATATTACCAATCATCTCTTTCATTTGAAAGTCATTATTGATCCAGTGAATTGTTAGTCCAATATATGGATCACCATTATCTGATGTCCACATATCAGTGGTATATGATATGTATCGAATTTCACTATCATCAAGTGCATATTCACGAATTCTTCGTAAAATATTATCCTTAGCATTAAGGAGAATTTCTTTTAAACAGTCCTTACTAAGCACATTAGCTTGTGCATCAAGTCCTTCTATTATTCGTTTAAATGCTTGTGATTGAAGTACTGAAAATGGATAAAGATCCTCAACAATAAAAGCAGTGATATGATTATCGAGCTTTTTTTGTTTTGAATTATTGAATGTATATTTAGCTGTTGTATTAAACACTTGCGTAATTGTCATTTGCGATAATTCTGCTAATACTTGGAATTCACAAGTTTCGCCATCCTTTGGCACAATATTTACACGACCACTTTCTACCATAGCTTTTGATATATGGTGCCTATTTCTTAAGTGTCGTCAAAGGTTAGAGGTAGAGCCATCTTTTTGATATTTTATATTTCGACAGCTTTTATGGCGGCAAACCCAAGTTTCTACACCATTAATTTCTATTATTTTATAAAAAGATCTAGCCGGACTACCACCCGGTCTTTCAATTTTTTTTTTTTTCTGCACATTTTTAGAATCACTTTTTGGCAACGATGTAAAGGATTGGAACGAAATTTCACCAAGACTTAAACTGTCCATATTACTAATTTCTAATATGTCTGGACTAATATCATGCACTAATACCATACTATCTGAATGTTCTGCATATTTGGCATTATCCGTTGTATCATCCATTTGGATCACTAAGTCGTTGTAAAATTTATTGCAAATTGGTAAATCAGATATTAGATAATTAATACAAGTAAAAAGCACAATATATTTACAATTCTATGGACGGCCCTAAAAGTATGAGTATGGTTGGATTATAGTGAGGTTTATAAAACCAGGCTTGACACAGTTATTTGATTTTTATATCTTTTTAGAAATAATATCTAATAAATGTTTTTGTTATTTAGAAGTTTGGTAATCAATGAAAATTCTATGAAAATAGATGCGGGCGTAACTTTCTATAAATACTTACATTTTGTAGGCGTATTTCAAAAATTTTATAATTTCACATGAATCTTGAATATGTACTTATGTACAAGCAAGCGACAATGATGAGAATTTTGTTTTAAAAAAATTTCATGAGCCCACATAAGGGCGTAACTTTCTGTGAACATTTATGGCCTACGAGCATAAAAGCTCATTATACAAGTCTCGTTATAACTTAATGTGCCCTACCCCGCACATTAGAGTCGCAACCATCTATTTTTTTGTTACGTCCTTTATGTCCTTTATGTATAATGATAAGTTGAATTAGAATTTCAAAAATGCATCCTCATGTGTAAGAGCTGCATTGCTCAAAGGTTTTATTGATTATTTTGCGCTTGCTTTAGTTACTAACAAAATCATCTTTCTGTAGATTTTTCCCTTAACAGTCACAAGATTGTACAATGGCTCTTTAAGTATCGGTTTTACATGAGAAAAATCAGAAGTAGAAGTTTGATTTTGTGGATCTAACTTCTTATTTATTCACTTTCACACACGTACTATTACATCATAATAGACTCTAAACTCTATTGTAGATCTATTATAATAGGCACAATAGACTCTAAATTCTATTGTGGATCTACCATAATAGGCACAATAAACTTTAAATTCTAATATAAATGATTCCATTATCGCAACGATTACGTCGCTCATGCTAATTACGATTGGTCCTACACTTTCTACCCAGAACTTGTACTACAAATGAGTGTTGCCAAGAGAAAACCTGCTATCGGGCTTTCAATTATATTTTGTGCCGGACAAAATCAGTTTAATTTGTTAGGGATTGTGTCTGGTATGTATAAAATATAATTGAAAGCCCGATGACCAGTTTCCCTTGGCAGCATTCAAATACAAAATAGAGATTTTTCACTAATCATCGATCAAGCCTTTCGTATTTAATAAAAGTTAAAAAAAACCCCCAATATATTTAATAAATATTTTTTATCGGGATTATATTCCACCAACAAAAAAATACAATCAATAGAGGCTTTTTACCAATGATCACTCAAGCCTTTCATTGAGATTATAATTTACCTGCAAGCAGGGCTTGGATCCGTTATCTGTTTCTAACGGATTTTACTATTAAATTTAGTATCTAACAGATAACGGATCCAAGCTCTATCTGCAAGAATTTAGAGCATTCTCAAAAAATTTCATTAATATTTGTAAAGTTTTGATAAACCAGAGCAAAACAAGGATGATTTGGGTAAAAGTCTTTTGATCAGAATTACAGAACTCTTCGTATATTTTTTATTATTTAAAATTTTTTCGTGTAATAAATCAAATCTTATTTATCTTAATGGCAAGCACGTTTTTATTGGTTAAAAGTAATTTCTGCTGATTAAAATTTAATTCTCGACATATTTTTGGCCCATTTCTTATACTATCCTGCGCAAACTTGGTATTATTTATTCCATTTTAGGTAATTTGTAGCGAGAAATTTATCAGATTTTAGTTTTTGTCTATCTGACCTGTTGACCCGGGTTATAACCCGGGTTGACCTCTGACCCGAGTTACTTTGATCCGGTTACAATTTTTTGACCCGGGTCACAACTCTAGTAGCAGGTAATGAATGGGTAAAGCTATCTATTAAATTAGATGAAAATGATGCTTTAATTTTTGAATAGATAATATATGAAAATGAAACATTTCAAAAACAAAAATATAGTGGTGTTGATTATTCTCTGTTTAAGTCTTTTACTAAAGAAAATAATATTAACAAAAATCGAAGTATTCCTTGGTTATTGGGATTTCTTAACACAGATAATATAAGATTTTTATATACTAAAGTTCATGAAAAGTATCCATGGTTATTTCAAAATTATCATAACACAATGCAAGCTTTTCAAAAAGAAACTACACTAAGAAAGTCTTTACAAAAAGAATCTCAACAAATTGATTTTTCATTACGGCACAAAGAACCTTATATAGAAAATGGTATTATTCTTGAAGCTAATGGAAAACACCTTACATCAAAAGAAACTCAAGCTTTAATTGTAAAATATAACAAACTTGTAACTTAAAAATATCAACAAAATCGTAATATATCTCGATTACAAGTGAGAATAAATCATTTTCAAGATATATACGAAAAACAAAAACAAGATTCAAGTATAATAGAAGAGCATGTAAATCAGATTATCAAAGATCAACAACTTGGCTCTACAATTTTAATTGATACAAAACAATATTTAACTTTAGTGTTAACTCAAGCTTGTTCTAATTGTTTTCAAACAAATCAAAAGTGGAAAATTACAAAATTAGGATTAACGGTTAAATGTATTTCAAAATGTCGTGAATGTAAATCTTATATAGTATTTAATAATGAAGCAGAAGGAATGAATTATACTTTGGCTTACGCAGCAGCAGGATTAGTTGGAGAAGTTACTCGACATGCACTTCAAACCATATTAGCTTCTTTTGGTATAACTTCACAAATATGCGAAAAAATATATAATACATATCAAAGTAGATTATTTTCTCGAATTATAGACGGTGCTAAAAAATCAGCAGAATTGGCATTAAGACGATGTATTGAATTTATTAATCTTTCAGAAAATCCTGAATTCCGTATACAAGTATTATCTAATCAATATAAGGATGATTTAGAAACTAATTCCAATTATCAAGTTGTAAAAAGATTTCCTGTTGGATTTGATACATCTTGGAGTCATTGTAGAAATGCGAATCAAGAAAGTGGAGAGTTTATTTTTCAATCTGCGATTCCAGGTATATATAAATAAAAATCTATATAGTAATTTTAGTTTTTTTAAACTCTAAATTATAATTGAATATAATTTGTCAATTATAAAGTTTAGAAAAAAAAACTAAAAATTACTATTTTGGATTTTTTTACTTGACATTATTAGTATATTATATAGATAATTATTTACTAATAATTTATTAAAAGAATACCCACATAAACCTATCATAGCATTTCATATTGCACAAAAGTCACGAATTATCAAAAATACTGAAACTAATGATCAAAAAACAGTATTTACAGAAAATTTTAATGCTAGTTCAAAACAAATGGAATACTCGATATTAATAGCTAATTTGAATACGATTACTAATATATTACATGAAAATTATATGCTACTAGATATATGTCTTGATGGGAACCTTGATTCAAATAAAACACTTGGTTATATTCCAATTGCTAATCATGTATTTGCTGATCTCAAACATGTAAACAAAAATATTTGAAAAAATTTAAGTAAGTATATCAAATTTATAATAATTATACTAATTATAAATATTAAAATAATAAATATTTGCAATTTATAGAAAAAAAAAAATACTCTCCATTTCATCAATTTGAAAATCATATTATGTTATGGTTTAATAGTTGTGCTTTTGCAGCAAGATGTCGTTTTAAAGATCCTAATGAAAAAACGCCAACAGAAGAAGATTTGAGAAATATACAAGTTGAAGGACTTATCAAACATTTGCAAAATAATCATATTGATTGCTGGAATGAAGTTTGTTGGCTTACTAATAACGCAAATTTAAAGTTATAAGCACCAACACTAGTTAATTGTTCACCAAATAAGATTCAAGAATTTCGGGATATGTTGTTGTCTATTTGTTGTCTACCAACTAGACAAGAGCTAGTTACAACTCATAGATCTTCACAAAATGAAGCCTTTAACCGAATAAAGCTAGTTTATCTTGATAAAAAAATAGATTTTTGGAAGTCATATGAGGCACGACATGGGCTTGCAGTATTACATAATAATGAAGGATATAGAACTATGATGGCTGAAGTTCGTGCATTTTCAGAAAATATAGATTTTTCTGAAGAAGATTATTATAATATTAGCTTATTAGAAAATGAAAGATCTAATCAACAAGCAATAAATATCGGAAAAATTCATGAACGAAATAAGCAGAGAGCTGCTAAATATATAGCAGATCGTGAAGAATTAGCAGGATTTGATTTTAATCAGGTAAATTTGTTTTTTTTTATAATAATAGCTTTCGCAATAAAAAATATTTATTATATAATAATTAAATAATATTTATAATATTATTACAGGAGCTAATTCCATATAAAATGAAAGATCAAGAACGTATTAGATCGAACAGTTTTTATCTATCATTTGCATCTCAAATATTAGATTTTGAATCACTTACTCGATGTTTGGGTTATCAAACTTTTCCAAAAAATACATGCGATAGTCTTTGCACTCTTTGTGATTTTTATATACAACTTGGCTGGAATTCACGATTATTAGATAAAACATTTGAATTACCAAATAAACCAGATATTGCACCACTAACAACTTTTGAACTTATTCAATTAGCAGCAGAAAAAGTATTTAGATATAAACAGCTAAGAAATGGCCAATTAGAAGCTATTTATAATTATATCGATCAACAAAAAGATATTTTAGTTTTGATGAAAACTGGAGATGGAAAGTCTCTATGCTTTTTATTATCTGCTATTCTATTTGATAGTTTAACAGTTGTAATAACTCCGTTAATAGCATTGATGCAAGAACAAGTAGTATGTAGACATAATAAATAGGCATTTATATAAATAAATAAATATTTATTTATTTATACGTATAAATTCCTATTTAATATGGAAATTAATATTAAGAAAAATTATTAACTAATATAAATTATATCTTAGACTAAATGTATCAAATCTGGTATACCCGCTGCAGCAT